TATCTAATTGCACTTTGACGTTGGCAGGAGCTGGGACCGAACAACGGGAGCTCACCCCATCGCGGGGAATCAAACCGCCGACCTTCTGATAGGCAAGTCCTAGGCTCTGTGGTTTAGACCACAGCGCCACCCGTGTCCCTTCAATGACCCTAAGTAAACAGTAATTACATACTATATATACACACAACAACAGCAACAGCAACAATCATAGTACATAAGAAGCAATGTATTTGTCCATCAAGCCCAGTATCATCTAGTCAGACTGGGAGGGACACTCCAGGGTCTCACCGTCTGATACCTAATAATTTTAACTGGAAATGAGAGGGACTTGATATTCTTCTTGCAAAGCATGTTCTCTGCCACTGAGCTATAGCTGGTCACCAGTCATGACCCTGAACAATTTAGGATCATCAATAATCTTGGCCACCTCACTGCTCACCCCTAACCTTAGATCATTTATGAACAAATTTAAAAGCAGAGGTCTTAATTCTAGTCCTTAGGGACTCCACTTTCTACATCTATCTATTCAGAGAATTGCCAGTTTCTTCCTACTTTTTTATTCTGGTGGTTTTAAACAACATCCAAGCATTTAGGGGAGATTTGACCCTCTTGACTTTGCCTTCCAACTTCCTTTTTAGCAATCCCCTCATTTTGAGGAAGTACAGAGTGATGCCACCTCCAGTACACCTTCCCTGTCTTTCCGTGTTTCCTACAGGGACACAGGTGGCGCTGTGGTCTAAACCATTAAGCCTCAAGGGCTTGCCAATCAGAAGGCTGCCGGTTTGAATCCCTGCAATAGGATGAGCTCCCGCTGCTCTGTCCCAGCTCCTACCAACCTAGCAGTTTGAAAGCATGTCAGTGCAAGTAGATAAATAGGTACCACTCCAGCGGGAAGGTAAACGGTGTTTCCGTGCGCTCTGATTTCTGTCACGGTGTTCTGTTGCACCAGAAGTGGTTTAGTCATGCTGGCCACATGACCCAGAAAGCTGTCTGTGGACAAACGCCAGCTCACTCGGCCTGAAAGTGAATTGAGTGCTGCAACCCCATAGTTGCCTTTCACTGGACTTAACCGTCCAGAGGTCCTTTACTTTTTTTTACCTACAGAGTTTGCATCCAGGCCAAAAGGGGGGTCTTGTCAGCCCAGGATCTCCATGCACACTGTCCAGGCTTGTGTGCCAGGGAGGTCACTTTGGTGCTGCTAACGCAAGGGTTTGATTTCACTCCTGGAGGCGAACTCCATTGTCTCTTGAGACAAACGGATGCCAGCAACTAATTTTAGTATCTGCAAATATAAATATTTTATTTTTATTTGACTAATAAAATACAAGCTGGTCCTCCTATATTATTTATTTATTCACTGTATTTTATTTTGTGGGCATCAGAAACTTCCTTCATACACTACTGGGTGTAGGGTGAGAGCAATCACAAGATGATCGCTATGCTGGATAATATATAAACAGAGGCCTGGTCAGGCAAAGAATTGGTGTTTCTCCAGAAAGTGACACGGTGGGTAAATAAAGCCAGGCGGTATTTATTCACTGAAAGGGTGCTAAATTGACTTCCTCCCACACTGTACCCACTGAAAGTGGCAGCACTTTGATCAAAGACAAGCCATCAGCACCAAACTCCAGAGGGAGACCAAGCAGCAGGTCAAAGCAGGGGAAGCATGAAAAATTGGAGATTGCCACGAGTGAGATTCAAGAGAACATCCGTACTGCCTTTCTTGTACTTGGCATTATAATACCGCATAGCTTTCTTTCTGTTGTTCCTGGAACCACTCAGGCATATAATGAATGGAGTCCTAGTGACTGGAAACGTTTGTCTTAAGCTGATGTTTCCATAACCTGCTTTCCTATTTGAACTTCGTAATGGATTTTTCAAGTGTTGACAGACTAGTTGCAGTGTCTCTGTGCTTCCTGGACTACTGTCCTCCCCTTTCCAACAATCCACCTGAATGTATCTGGCCATTGTGCAGGATTTTCATTGAATAATATAGACGTATGCACCCATCAGGAAGGGCGCCAGCGCTGGGCATGCAACGTGACATTTCATGTGGACATAAACATGTTTGTGATATGACCAATTCCCATAACCCTTCCCTGCAGATTGTTAATAGGTAAAAGAGTAACAGCATACAACATATTTGGGTTTAGGCTCATATGCCTGCTTCACAGATGTGAAAAGGGGCAGAACTGCTGGATTTCCTAAAGTTCTAGCTTAGCCTTCCCCAATGTGTGTGGGGGGGGGAGGATTCCTGTTGAAAAAGGAAGGCAAATAAGACCTTGGGGTCTCCCCCACCAGAACTACACCCTTGCTCCCTCTTCCACCAATTGGCCTGTGGAAAGGAGCCTGATGAATCACGAGAGCCCGTGTGGTTAGAGTACCAGACTAGGGCCTGGGAGACCCGGGTTCTAATCCCAACTTGGCCATGAAGCACACACGCCTTGGGCCAGTCACTGCCTCTCTGCCTAACCTACCTCACAGGGTTGTTGTGGGGATTAAATGGGCAGGGAAGAACCATGCACACAACCATGCGTTCCTTGAATGAAAAGGTGGGATATAAATCAATTGGAAAATTATTAATATGGTGATAGAGGTTTTTATTAATGCATCTTTGATACGTGGATCCTGAAAGGTGATGTGTAAATCACTGTAATATGCAGTTAATTAAATACACTTTTAAAATGACTCGTAGATTCTACAGTAGACGTTAATTTGAACCCAAATCTTCTAACACCGTGTCAAATTCTATGCACTAGGCTGCTGGGTCCCCTCTTATATTGTCATGGATATTAAGTCTGCAAATTAACTGCAGGTTAGTAAGGGAGTAAGCCCCACTGCATCTAGTGGAACCGAGTTGACATGGTTACATGGCTGTAACTGGATATTCTCTCCTACTGTGCTTGTGGCAGGTTTCATTTCAATAAAAACGCCTCATTTAACCGTTTATTATGGTATGAGACAATAGCCAATATTTTATCCAACAACAGAGTTTGCCATTTGAATGAAATTCCTCTGAGATAAAACAGAATGTTTCAGTACTAAAGGTGCCTGGGGGATTAATCACTGCTTCTACCTGTTCTCACACCCTCAGTGTCAGCTTTAACCATGGGACCCATAAAACCAGAAATCTCACTGCTAAACATTGCACCCAGAACATAATTGCACATATGCTTATTTATTTGTACTATATATTGTAATCAAAACTTTCTTTTTTAAAATACGACTTGGTATTGTGACTAAGTGTTAGTACTGGACCAAGCTATTTTCCAAACTTATTTTATGTGGAATGCATTTGAGCAGTGTTTTTCTAGTGATAATATGAATAAAGAAAATACGTAAATAAAGACAGAAATCACTGATTTATAGGCTGTATAAGTTGAATTAATAAAATAATAATAAAAATAGGCTACCAGACAAGCAATAGTCACAGCCTGCAGACCCATTATTTATATACTGAAATTGTATTGAAGATTCTCCTGTATGTTCATGGCATTTTATTATATTATAAATATCTAGCTAGCATGGACATTCCTTGTTCCTAGCTGGTTGGCCAAAAGGAAAGCTCTTCCAGAGATTAAGTACATGAATAATTTTCTTCCAAAAGGAAGATATTCCAGAGTTAGAATGTAGCCATCGAAAATGACATCGTGTAGATGCTCCCGCCATTCATATCTGACCTGTGGAAGATGCAATTAGGAGTAACCACAGAAATTACAAAGGCACAAGAGGTCTGCAGATCAATGTACTGGATCAATTGTTGGAAAACTTAGTGACTGGCCCTATGTGGCGATACATAACCAAAACAGTTTATCAGATTGGACAATAGAGTTCTAGCAGAAGCATCCATTGCCTAGCAGATATAGGGTCCAGTCACACAGTTGGGGATACTGTATACATGGTAGTTTCCTGCATTCCCTGGGGATGTATCCACAATGACAGCATATATTATGTATGTTCATGGTCCAGTGAAACTGCATGGAGGAAAGTAGCATCTGATCCTGATCTATCCCAGCATGACTGCACAGTACATTTTTGGCTCCCTCACTCTCACAAATTGCTACCAGGAAGCAGCAGTTTAACCAAGGCACATCAGGTCAGGCATTCCTTATTTCACACTGGTTGTGTCCCTGGCTGCTAAGGACACTCCATGTAAAGGAAGTGACAGCAAACCTCTGAACCCACCCTCAGTAACCACATGCAACTCTTTGCACTTGACCACCACCTTCTCAAGAACTTCACACATTGCAAAATAAGGGGCGGGTCTGCTGTAGTAAAAGCCAGAACCAATTTCAGCTCCGTTGAAGTTATCAAAGACATGTGGGCATCACATTATCCAACTGACCAGAGAGACTGAAGCCAGATCAAAAACAATAATTTGAGACTTGTGAAATGAGTTTACCTATTTCTCAAGCAAATGTCCAATTTTATAGAACATATTTTCATTAAAAAATAAGAAAAGGAAAGGGAAAAAGCATGCCATAGCTAATAACTTTTGAAAAACTGTAGGGACTGGCACTTTCATGCACTTGGCAAGTTTAAAAGCCAGTTTTTATTTAGTCCACTTTAAGTGTTGGAGGGTCTGTGAGTCCCAACTGTTTCACATCAGAGAAGGAAAACAACTTGAGCCCAGCCAAGACCACATTGGGGACTGCCAGCCTCTTTATGTGCCAAACATAAAAGCAACAAGTCCAGATGCTTTGATCCTCACATTTTTGGATTTAGTCCAGATTTTGGAGAAGAAAAAACAGCCATGCAAACCCTCACCCGCTCCTTATGTTAGGACAACATACATTATAACTGGAAATCAATCAATAGCGCTGTGACCTTCAAACGCAGTAAACGTTTGGAGTTGCTTTCTGAGCATGTAATCTAAATTGGGAATTGGAAGTTGGACAGAATCCTAATGCAAAAGAAAAACAGCGTATAGAGCTTCCATTTTTACATAAATCTGAAATCTCAAGGAAGAAACAGATGATACTTAAACTTTTTTTTTTTTAAAGGAACTGAAATTGGCTTATGGATCATATTCCAGGGAGACAGGCTGAGGAATCAATGCCGCAATCCTAAGATCCAATCTTTTACTACATTGCATTGCACTTGTGTCAGTGAAGGCTTGCCACTATAGTGCATGTGTAAAGGATGGGAGGCAAAACTAAGGGGAGAGTAAGCAAAACAACACCTACCCATTAAATAAGAGGTAGGAGCAAGAGAGACAAAGAAGAAGGTTCAAAATTCAAGATGGTAATGGAAATTGGCATAAGAAGGAGAGGGAAAGATTGGCTGGGATCACTCAAGAGAGAAAGCAGTTGGCACAGACAGCCTGGAGGGAATGCAGTCTCACATGGTCTGTGGATTGCAGGAGGGATGTTGTGTGTGCTGGTATTTTTCTGCCAAAATCAAGGCTGCAGACCCCTAGTAGGTCTAGTATAAAGATGTAACAGGAGGTAACAGAACAGGTTTTGAATTTCATCTCCTGCCCTGAGCTGGGCCAATTTTACACATAAAACACTTATTGTTATGACACACAGCTGCCAGTCCATTCTAGTGGCATCAGTAGTGGGCAAAAATATTGTTGTGTTATATTTGTTTAATTGTTTTCTGCAGGTATATTGGCAAGCTGTTCCTGTGTAACTTTTTGCACCCACAGGATGGCGAGGTTCAGTTGGGAGCAAGTACGTAACAGAGTACTGGGGCAACAGTCTGTTATGGGAGGAACCATAACTTAGGGGTTGAGGTCTCACATTCAATGCCTGGCATCTCCAGCTGTAAAAAAAAGAATCAAATTGCTGTTGATGAGAAATACCCTCTGCCTGAAGCCATGCCCACTGCCAATTAGAGTAGACAACACTGGGCTAAATGAACAAAGACCTGATAAAAGGCAGCTCCCCATACTTGACGTTCCAAAAAGCAGTCAAACAACAAAGAACGCCTATTATCTTTATGCTCTGTCCATATGTTTCTACAAGCATCTGGCTGGCTGCTGTTGAAACAGGATGATGGACAACACAGTCATTAGTCTGAGGCAACAAGGCAGTCTAACTTTTGCTGGAAGCTAGTCAACAGCTTCCCATTCCCAGTCTGGCTCTGCAATGCACAGACGGGAAGCGGCGCACAGAAATTCAGGAACATTTTCCCATGTGATATTCCTATACAACGTGCAAACATCTGTAGGTTGTGTGGACAAGTGGGTAGGAATGGACGAATCTGTCAATTTCAGTTTCCCCTCCCCATCCCCCATCATAATTTCAAGTCAGCCTATTTTTGCATCAGTTTGTGATTAAAAAACCACAAAACTGTACATTAAAATTCACACTCCTTTTCATGCACATTTCCCCTAATATATACAATTTTTGTATGCAATTTTACCAAATATACACATTGTGCAAGCAATGTCCCCTAACTTAATGCATTTCTATGTTTTCTCACTAATATAAATATTTTTGAGTCCATATGAATTTGTATTTATTTTGGGGTTGAAGAACCATCACAAAACTTGGGAAAATGTGAAATTTGAAGGGAAGCTGCATGTTGGTTTATGTATTGGTTTTGGAGGCACAAATTAGGCAGGTGTGCATGAAATGCAAACTAAACATATTTCTCATCCATACCTACTAGTGAGGAGGGTCCATATGGGCTGGAGCTCCTTGCACATATCCACTGTGGAGATTAAGGTAAAGGTAAAGGGACCCCTGACCATTAGGTCCAGTCGTGACCGACTCTGGGGTTGCAGCGCTCATCTCAATTTATTGGCCGAGGGAGCCGGCATACAGCTTCCGGGTCATGTGGCCAGCATGACTAAGCCGTTCCTGGCGAACCAGAGCAGTGTACGGAAACATTGTTTACCTTCCCGCCAGAGCAGTACCTATTTATCTACTTGCACTTTGACATGCTTTCGAACTGCTAGGTTGGCAGAAGCAGGGACCAAGCAACGGGAGCTCACCCCGTCGCAGGGATTCGAACCGCCGACCTTCTGATCGGCAAGCCCTAGGCTCTGTGGTTTAACCAACAGCAATTAGAAATTTTAAAATGATGCATTCAGTTACCTGAATCAGAAATGTATTTGTATGCTTCAAATCCATCACATGATTTCAGCTGCAGAAGATATGGGTGTGTAGATGTGACTCTGCTCACCTGACCACGTTGATGCTCCTTACTGGAAGATAGAGAGGTGTGGTACAGACACAATGGCAGATCCAATCTAGTGCTCCTAACCTCTGCTACATTTCCACTGAACTAACCTGTCCCCTGCCTAGTCCCGCTACCTCTTGGTAAGCAACAGCAATGGAACCAACCAACCAGAGGTCAGGTGGGCAGCGACACCCCATGATGTCGTCCACCTACTGAATTATTTCCTTAAGAGGATCCTTCGGGAATGATCATCCATCATAACAATAGTTCATAACCAGTACCACTGGCAGATACAAATCACCTACCTGGACTAAAAACAAACTAGACAGTGGAATGACATAACTAGACTGGGCATCTTTCTGCCCCTAAGACACCAAGTTCATGCATTGTTTGTACAGTATCAAGAGTTGCAAAACAGAAAGTAAAGAGACACAAAGATATCCGAAGCTCTGTGTGTCTTAAGCAGTCCAGTTTTGCCCTATGATTCAGCTGGTTTTATTTATTAATAGTTGCATTTATGGTGTCTGGCTGTTTCAGTCTCCATCACCTAGAGCAGGGGTCGGCAAGGTTTACTTTGCCTGGGCCGGTTCACTCCAGCGGAGAGCCCTCCGTGGGACAGATTGCGCCCGCCCACGATTTCAGGCGCCTGCACAGACGCAATTTTCAGCGCCACAGAAGCGAGTCCCCACGCCATGCTGGTTTAGCGCAGTGTGTGGGGACTCATCAAGCGGGTGACTCGGTTCAGAGGCAGCTCGTGGGCCAGTTAAATGACTCCCGTGGGCTGCTTGTGGCCCATGGGCCTTAGGTTGCCGACCCCTGACCTGGAGCAAGGGTAGGGAACCTGTGGCCCTCCAGATGATGGGAGTTTCTGTCCAACAACCTCTGGAGGCCACAGCTTCCCCACTCGCTAGAGGCTTCTCCATGAAGAAATTTAATTTCCCATACCCATAAGGATTTCTCCAAGAGTTATACTAGTATACATGTTAGTTGGACACAGAGGATGAACAAGTGTTTGATTTATTTTAAAATGGAACAATATTATGGTGAGTTGTGCTCTCCTTTTATCCAGACTTCCTTGAACTTTGGCTGGCTTGGTCACTAACAACAGATGCTAATTACTGTGAAATCCATGCAGCTGATCTTCTAAGCTACTCCAATTATTAGCTCATACTACTGTGACCACACCCAGGTCTTCCTTCTCCAGGAACAGATGCAGTTGGCTCACTAGCTAAACTGCAAAAGCACTCCTGATGACAACCACTACAACTATCATCGAGATTGCTATTATATATTGCATATAGATTTAGCCTCTGGATCTACAGGAGCAAGGGATGGTCCAAAGAGAACTCCAGAACTGTGAACCCCTGTCCAAAATAAGTTGTACCCTGTTGCAGGCTCAAGGGTCCTACTCACCAAGAATACTTGGGCTTCTTCAGAAGGAAGAGTGGGATAAATAAAAATAAAATGAATAAATAATAATAATAATAATAATAATAATAATAATAATAATAATAATAATAATTTTTATTTATATCCCGCCCTCCCCAGCCTTAGCCGGGCTCAGGGCGGCTAACAACAATAAACAGTACAAAAAGTTCCGCATAAACAACACTCTAAAATCATTCATTCTAAAATTAATTAATTCAAGCCACTGGCAGCCATTGGGCCAGAGCTCCGCAAAGGCTGAGCCCTTGCCAAAGGCCTGGTGGAACAGCTCTGTCTTGCAGGCCCTGCGGAAAGATGTCAAGTCCCGCAGGGCCCTGGTCTCTTGTGACAGAAATACTGACTTTGATTACATTTTAGTTTCTTGGCCCACATTGTGTGGTCCTCTGTGAGTCCATTCCTTCAACTTCATATTGATCTCGCTGATCCATTATCAATTACATCTCATAGAATCATATAATTGTAGAGTTGGAAGGAACCCTTAGGATGATCTAGTACAGGCTTCCTCAACCTCGGCCCTCCAGATGTTTTGATACTACAGTTCCCAGCATCCCTGACCACTGGTCCTGCTAGCTAGGGATCATGGGCCAAAAACATCTGGAGGGCCAGATTGAGGAAGCATGATCTAGTACAACCCCCTGCCATGCAGGAATATGCAGCTGCCCCATAATGGGATCAAACCTGCAACCTTGGGCGTTATCAGCACCACACTCTAACCAACTGAGCTATCCACTTTTGATGCTACATCTGCTGCATCAAACAATATCTGCATCAGTTATTGGGAGACTGCTGTGTGCAAGACCTCCAGATCCTCACCTTATTGCAGCTTTACCTTAGAACTGACAGGGACATAGACAACTGCCTTATACTAGGCAGTCTTTCACACCACCTGCCATAGACTGAATCTTCAAAGTGCAAAGGGTCCCCATGCCCCCACAAGCAGTAAGCACTGTTCCGGTTGGACAAAATAGATATACATTCTCTACAATAAATTCCTCTCTAGACTTCCAGCAAACCTGCACTTCATCTGACGTCTGCTTGTTATATTTGGAAAGCTCTCCCACATATTTTATAGAGACAGGAGTAATATCTAGGGTTGCCGCCAGACATATTTATTCCAGCAAGTGGCAACATATGCCATTAGCTGCTTCGGAGGCACAATACTAATAGCAGGAATTGATTCCATCACAGCATGCTAGAAAACACTTCACCTGTTGAATTTCCACAACTCGTGCAATTGTAAAAAAAAGGTAGTTTGAGCCGACCAGGGCATGGCAAGAAACAGTAGCAAACAATCCTAGCTGGAGACCAGCTGGTCTGGGTAGGTGTCAGTTCATAACAATAAACTCCTCCCATAACAGAATACATATGGCAAGGCAAGCTTAAGAAACACATCCAAATATCCATTGGCAACACAGTGGGCAGTAACAGTCGGGGAGCAGCCAAAATCCTTCTCACTGTAAATATGTAACAGCCACTGTAGTCAGAGCCAGAATGTTCCTGCTTTTGTACTACCAGCCCCAAGTTCTTGTCCCAGGATTTATCCTTCTACCTTTGTGCTATTTCATTTGACTACAGCATCCATATAAAGTTCAAAACTGGAGTGGGGGGGTCACTGGAGATTCCAAGCTTCACAAAGCAATTAAAAGTATTCTGCACTGAGATTTGCTTACTGCGTTTGTAAAACACAACACAATTTAATTGCACTGTCACTAAATACCAAACTAGACAATATCTTGCTAGTTTGAAATCCTTAGGCTGCCTTTTACATTTTAATGGCTACGAACAGCCATTGGCACAAAATGAATTGAGCTCACACAAACTTACCTTGCAACAGGCCTACAAAAATTACAGAACAGTAGCACCAAAGCTGTACTGATCTTGCAATGGACAGCTTTTTAGTTAGATTAAACGAGTGTCCTGCATGAGCTATTTAGAGCTGCAAAATATTTAGGTCATTTCATAGTCATAGAGTGTCAAGGGTCATCTAGTCCAACCCCCTGCAATGCAGGAATCACAGCTATAGAATCCCTAACAGATGGGTGAGGGGGTCATACTTCCAACTATATGTGCACCAAAGTATATTATTATTTAACTGAAATAGTTTTGTTTGACTAATTGATTGAAGTTAATTTTGCATATACAGTGGTACCTCGGGTTACATATGCTTCAGGTTACATACGCTTCAGGTTACAGACTCCGCTAACCCAGAAATAGTGCTTCAGGTTAAGAACTTTGCTTCAGGATGAGAACAGAAATCGTGCTCCAGCGGCGCGGCGGCAGCGGGCGGCCCCATTAGCTAAAGTGGTGCTTCAGGTTAAGAACAGTTTCAGGTTAAGTACGGACCTCCGGAACGAATTAAGTACTTAACCCGAGGTACCACTGTAGATAAAAGCAACCGTCGTGAAATGAGAAACATGTTTTTAGACAAACATGTGTATATGATGTAGCAGGCCCAATAATTTTAGTACATGAATTCCTTCCTGTACTTGCATTAAATACAACAACAACAACAACAACATGAGGTTACTTAGGGCATCCTCTTAGTTCTTTTTTTTAAAAATACTGCTGAGCCGGGAGCCGGTTGAAGTTAAATCCTTCGAAGACAGAGGTCCTCTGGCTGGGACGGGACGATATGGGATTGAGGGGGCAGCTCCCATCTCTTGCGGGGGTGCAATTAGTGCCAGCACCGTCCGTTAAGAGTTTGGGTGTAATCTTCGATACCTCCCTCTCCATGGAGGCGCAGATTGCAGCTATAACAAAGGCGGCATTTTTTCATCTCCGCCAAGCTAAGCAGTTGGCTCCTTACCTCTCTCGCCCTGACCTAGCCACTGTGATCCACGCGACGGTCACCTCCAGACTGGATTATTGTAACTCGCTCTACGTGGGGCTGCCCTTGAGACTGACCCAGAAACTCCAGCGGGTGCAGAATGCCGCAGCGAGACTCCTTACGGGGTCTTCACTGCGGGATCACATTCATCCGGTGCTATACCAGCTGCACTGGCTCCCGGTGGAGTACAGGATCAGGTTTAAGGTGCTGGTTTTAACCTTCAAAGCCCTACACGGCCTAGGACCCTCGTATCTACGGGACCGCCTCTCCTGGTATGCCCCACAGAGGAACTTACGGTCCTCAAATAAAAACATCTTGAAGGTCCCAGGCCACAGAGAGGTTAGGCTGGCCTCAACTAGAGCCAGGGCTTTTTCGGCTGCGGCTCCAACCTGGTGGAACGCTCTGTCACAAGAGACAAGGGCCCTGCAGGACTTGACATCTTTCCGCAGGGCCTGCAAGACAGAGTGTTCCACCAGGCCTTTGGTTAGGGCACAGCCTGACTCCCTCCTTTGGCAATCTTTACAATACTTTAGTTTATGGTTGCCATCAATTTTGATTTTAATTAATTCTTATGATGTTTTATAATGTTGCACTATTTTAGTGTTGTTAGCCGCCCTGAGCCCGGCTTCGGCTGGGGAGGGCGGGATATAAATAAAATTTATTATTATTATTATTATTATTAAATGATTAAATCACTGAACCCTAAAATAGGCCATAATACTACAATTGCCAATTATTTTGCTGATCTTTTTCTGTTGCTAAATGCTACATGTTAAGGTGGAATAGAGAATTTGTCTATTACCTTTGCCTTGAATGGAGAAAAGTAGAGACAGGCCTTCGTATATTCTGCGGTACAGAAAAATAAATGGCCACTCTGTATTAGGCTAACATAAACCAGGTGCTGGCCCCAGGGGCTGCCTTCCTGTAATAGATTTCTTTCCACCAAAGCTCTTCAAGGAGGGCGTGGGGGAGTAGATTTCGGATACTAGATTGGGCCAGAGGGTGGAACCTCCTGTTAAACAAGAGTGTTTGTAGTTGTGGTTACAAGCAGCAAGATCCCAGAGAACAAGATGGTGTTTCGAGTCACACCACCTTTGCTAGGGAATTTCAGCCTGCATCATGATCACAAATCATTTCCTATGACAGGAGGTTATGTGTTAAAGATGTTCATCTCGAAGCACTTGCAAAAGGTAGAGCCTAGGCTATCAAAATAACAGGATCAGGATAAAAAAAACAAAACCCATATCTGTAAGTGATTCATTCATTCCCTTTTCAGCTGTATGGCTTTCCTGGCTCCTTGGACTTCTAAAGGGAGAAGCTGTTGTTTATATTAAGGATGCTTCTTATGTTTAGAGAAAGGGAAACATTTGCAAATGATGCTGAATAACTGCTAGTATCTCCAACAATTTGACAGAAAGGCTCTTGGCATGAGCGTTTGGTATGCATTGTTTGTTTTAACTTATTTTGTCCATTTTTTAAAAAGCATGATGGTGGTTTTGATCAACTCTTGCTGGTGGAATTCCATTAGTACATCTGCTTAAAAAAAAAAAAGATAAGCAGACAGTGTGCTAGATGAGCCTAAATCGGGATTGGTGTTGGGTATATTTTTAGCCTTTTATCCTTATGCCTAATTGAGGATGACATGCAATCATGAGGTTTTATTTCAGAATGCCGTCTCTTTCCTCTCTCTTATTAAGTGGTGGAGCTGACTTTGGCTGCTGTCCACAGACCACTTACATCAGAGTACTTGGACATTGTAGTCGAGTCCTAGCGATTTAAGCAGAAGTAAACCAGTGTGAGTAGTTTGTTGGCTGTGTATCATCAGCAGTTTGGTGGATATATGAATTTTTAGGACATGTCCACACACAAGGTTTCTACTGAGGTTCTGATATCATGAGTCAATAATCCAGGTAGCATCTGATTTGGTAAAGCATATGGCAGGCGTGAGGAACTGTTTTTCTTAGTTTCCTGGGAGTAAATTCTTGGGGATGCAAACTAGTGGTGTACAGGGCTAAAGCCAAAATTGAAGCAATATCATTACTCTTTGCTAATTTATTTTATTTATTAAGTCTGTATACTGTACAAACTTGTAAGTATATTGTAAAAATGCAATACAAAAACACAAACCAATATGCCCCCCACCAAACACATTTAAAAGGGGTATAAGATGTTAATCAGCCAAAGGCTTGGTTGAAAAAGAGAGTATTTGCCTGGCACCTACCTGGGGAGAGCATTCCACAAAAGTGGAGCCACTGCAGAAAAGGCCGGTTCTTGTATCGCCACCCTCCGGACCTCTCGTGGAGGCAGTACATTAAGGATTGTCTCAGATGATGATATCAGGGTCCAGGTAGGCTCATATGGAGAGAGGAGGTCCTGAGCCATTTAAGGCTTTATAAGTCAAAAGCAGCACTTTGAATTGGGCCTGGAAACTACTTGCCAGTGGACCAAGATCTATACAATATGCAGAAACTCTCTTGCCCTGATGAACAACTTGGCTACTGAATTCACATTCAGAAGGCACAAATGATCAGATGTACAAAATCATATGCTTCAATGGTTTTCCTATTGATTATTGTGGACTGAATTCCCAAACTACAAAGAAAAGAAAGGAGAGTAGGGGCCTTGCAGTTTCCCATTAACAGTTAGCACCTCAACAGCAGACTGAGCAGACAAGCAGGTCTGTCTCCCCCAATACAATGAGACGCACTACATTTCTACTTAAAACACAGCAACTGTTTCTAAACTGTTATTTATAAATATGAATTAGCAAATGCAAATTTACGCAGATATGTGCCATCTTTTGTCCTTTTGGGGGGAGGGGCACCAGTTAATCAGTTCCTCTTTTTTAAAAAACAATACATATGGACACCCTACTTAATACCTAACACCAGGCCTCACCATTCTTCATCTTTTCATATGCAACCTAGAGCATCCAATTCTATTTTTATTTATTATTTTTTAGTCCCACCTTTCTTACCCAAAACAACGTCTCACACACAATCGTATAAAGCAAGCAAAATGGCACTCTAGGCCAACAACAACCACCACCACCACCCAATAGCAGCATTAGATTACAAGGCACAGGACCAAATGCAACATTTCCTACCTGATATCTACAAGTTGGTGACGCCAGGCTTTTGCTAGTTTTTTCCTAGAGAGAGAGTTCTACAGAATTAGAATAAACACCAGTCTGCTTTCCTCCACACAAAAACAGAACCATCTCAGGGCAGAGCACCAGTTTGTGGACTAGTTCCCACTAAAGAGGTATAATAACCCTGAATGTGGGCTACACCATTTCAGAATGCTGGTAGGGACTCCAAGCTCCTGCCCGATTTGTTTATTTTTAATTAATCCCTGCACATAGAAATCTAGATTGAAGGGAGAAAGCTTTCTGTCTGGACTCACCTTTAGTTTTCTGCGGGGAGGGAATGCTTCTGTAGTGAGGAGCAGTCCTTGGGTGAACTACCCCTTGCAATTCAAAGTGGTGCAACCCAAACAAACAGTCTTTTTCTTCTCTCTCTCTCTCTCTCCCCCTCCCCCCACTTCAATAAAAGGCCTCAGGTTGTGTGAAGGTCAGTAATTAGGCCTCTTCAATGCTTCCTGGCCTGGCTTGGGGATAGATAGCCTCAAATCCTTCAAGTTTCGGCCATTTCAACCTTCCTTGTCTGGTCTGAGGAGAGATAGTTGGAGAACTAGGCCTCAAATCTTTCAAGTTTCGGCCACTTCAACCTTCCTGGCCTGGCCTGGGGAGAGACAGTGGGAGCACTAGACCTCAAATCCTTCAACTGTTGTGGCCGCTTCACCACCTTCCTTGCCTGGAAGGACTGTTGGGAGGAGCAGGCCTCAAATCCTTCAACTGCTCCATGTCTTTACTTTAAGGAAGTTGAGCCGCTGGCTGAGTCCTTCTCAGTCAGTTTCCTGTGAGTAAGGAGGCTGCTGCTCCTGGATCCTCTCAACTGCTCATTGCCACCATAACACCTGCCATGAACTCCCCACCTGAGTTAGGACAGAATATGCGGTAAGAGAAACTCGCCACCTGTCTACTGACTGAGCCATGTTTTAAACAATACGTTGACCCCCAGTTTCAGCTGAGCGCTGTTTCATTTGCTTGTGGTTTCTATTGCTTGAGGAAAATCCCTAGCGGTTTCACCCTGAAATGCAAAATATGCGCAGGCTTTGGCTGGAAAGTGGAAGGAAAAGCTTTGTTTGAAGTTTCTTTTTTTTTCATCAGATGTGGTCCAAAGAGAAGAAAGCCCAATGGGGAGGCATTTACCCTCAGCCCACCAATTAGTCGTGGGACTGGATGCCGGGGAAATGCTAATCTATAAGGAAAGCTCTCGTGGTTTAATTGATTTAATCAGTAGACTTAAAGCTTGCAGCCCTGCTTCATACTAATTTTGCAAAATAGCCTAATTATGTTATTGGGTTTCTTTAACCGACTTAACTTTGCTGGATAACCAAACCACAAGGGCTCAAAAAGCAAAAAAAGTGGGGGGTGGGGAGTCTGCTAGGTTCCATAATAGGCGATGGCGTCTCCTTGCAGCAGGTGGGGAGAGAGACTGCGCCCTAGTGGTCATGAGAGTTGTTGTAAATGATGATGAAGAAAACCAAGGATACGGTTGCCATATTTCAGACAGTTAAAATCTGGAGACAAAAGTTGTTGAGCTTTTTCTGCAAAATCTCAGTTTAAAAAATGAAGTTTTTTCTGGAATTGGCCAAAATTGGCACTTCCAAGATGGGTTGCCATACGTAACTGGATTTTCCCAGTTACAGATAGGTAGCCGTGTTGGTCTGCCATAGTCAAAACAAAAAAAATTCCTTCCAGTAGCACCTTAAAGACCAACTAAGTTAGTTCTTGGTATGAGCTTTCGTGTGCATGCACACTTCTTCAGATACTTCTTCAGTATCTTCACTTCTTCAGTATCTGAAGAAGTGTGCATGCACACGAAAACTCATACCAAGAACTAACTTAGTTGGTCTTTAAGGTGCTACTGGAAGGAATTTTTTTTGTTTTGGATTTTCCCAGACATTTTGGTGATTTTGGACACTGTTCCTGACGACCGAATCCCGAAATTCCAGATGTATGGCAACCCTAGTTGACCCAATAGGGTTCTGAACAAATGCTTGGCAGTAAATAAGGCTGAGTGTGTGTGTGGTGTTACGTACACTAACTGAATACAGTACAGTTTTCACAGTTATTGATAAGAGTCACCACCTTTTTCTCTCAACCTTTTTTCTGGCATGGAGAGCAGATGTGGAGGGGCAGAGGTGGTAATTTAGTGGCTGAATCTGTATGTTCTCTTAATGTTTCAGGTACATGAGCAGGGCCAGTAATAAGAGGAATTCTAGTTTCTTACACTTACCAAGGCAGTGTGGGAAAGAGCCCAGTCATAAAACATGGATATGCCTAAAATTAAGCAGAATTAATTAGAAGAATTCTGGTGAGTACCACTTCAGAATGCATGTGTGGGGTATGTTCATCATATTTTTCAATGTTACCGTATTTTTATAAAAAGTTTTAACATAATCTTCTCCCTAATACACTTGCCTACTGTGTGAAGGGAGATTTTTATAGAAGCACTAAAAAAATGGCACACACCTCTCTGCAACATCATTCTTTCCATTGAGTAGAAGGCAACCAGATCTGACTTTTGAGAATGTTGAAGAATATCTACGAATAGGTGAAGAAAGCAAGGTGGGATTGCAGTCAAGTGCACTGGGAAGGAGATTGCACTCCTGCAATCTGAAGTAGTACACTCCAGGATTAATTTACTACATAATTTTATGTAGAATAGATTTTTCACCTATCTCCTATGTTGTCTTGGAGTTGTGGAACCAGCTTCTTAGCCAGCTTTTTTCACTAAACTATTAGAATCAGGAGCACCCACCCAGTACTTTAAAAAAAGGAAACTGGCATAAGTGAATACAGTTATACCTCGGGTTGAAGTAGCTTCGGGTTGAGCATTTTCAAGTTACGCTCCGCAGCGTCCCGGAAGTAACGGAACACGTTACTTCCGGGTTTCACTGCTCGTGCATGCGCAGACGCTCAAAATGACGTCACGCGCATATGCGGAAGAGGCGAATTGCAACGCGCAGGCGCGGGTTGCGTTCGCTTCAGGATGCGAACGGGGCTCCAGAACGGATCCCGTTCGCATCCAGAGGTACCACTGTAAACATGACCCTCCCTCTACCGCAGGGGTTGCTAACCTTTTGTGGCCAGTAGAATTTCAAGAAAGTGTGAGAGGCACCAGTTACAAAATAGCTGTAACATCTGAATTGGGAATGGCTGAGAGGACCCTGGACTGGTGTCTGGATGCAGTGGTACACTGGATGAGGCCTAATAAGCTGTGTTTGAATCCTGAATGCTTTTAAAATTGACCCCGCCCTTTTCTCATGATACAGAAACTCAGGGCTGCCCAGTAAAATGAATTGACAGCAGGTTCCAAAGTGATAGAATAGAGTGATCCTTCACACAATACATAATTCTGGAATTGGTTACCACAGAATGTGTCGATAGCCACTAGCTTACCTGGCTTTTAAACAGGATTAAACAAATTCATGGGGGCTACGTCTATTCACAATTATTCCCTATGGCAGCTAAATCAAACCTCCATGTCTAGATACAATATACTCCTGAATACTAGATGTTGAGAACAAACTATTAACACCATAATGAACTGCTTCCAGTTACTCAGAGAGGCATTTGGCTGGCCAGCCAGCTGGTGACTGCGGTGCTGCTACTGCTCAAAAGAGAATGCTGGGTTGCATTGAGCTTTGGTCTGACATGGTAGAACATGTTCTAATAATAATTTGGAGGTACTGTGAAGAGACATTATGTGCTAGTTTCTGAGCCAGTTGTGTGAGTTGCACATCTATTTATCAGTAGTCTTTAATGTGCACAACTGTAAATGGACCCAAAAAGGTGCTGGTAGACTCACTCACAAACTTCTGGACTTTAATCAGCCACAAGCCCTGCCAGGATTCAGAGTAATTTCCTAACTATGAATCAACCTGATGACAATGAATCGCACACTGGAAAAGAATGCCAAATAAAACAAGCCATCACATATAGCTTGTATAGAGCAGCCTATGGAAAAGCTTTTGATCCACTCCACCAAAACAGCAACAGTGATGAAAGTAGAGAAAAGCAGGAACAGAAGAATCCCAAACCACATCTGTGAGTGTTGCGTAGTGATATTTAAGCCTGACAAAGATTAAAGAAAGCAAGATGGTCCTTCCAAGAAGACATCATGTGACTTGGAAAAATACTCATTTGAGTATTTCATAGAATACTCTGAGCAGAAAATATACAGTGCTGATAAAAAGGGCATCCTGCTTTAATGGGAAATGTCTTGCCTTAAATCAGATTCAAGCTAGAAACGCAACCACTTGCTGATAAATTCCAATAGTCACTTGAAATTCTGATGTTCCCATTATACAAGTATACTTCATTTATAACAAGGCAGTGAAGGAGTGACAGTTTGTAGGTGATGCAGTTGCTATATTGTGCAATCATTGCCCTAAAATGGACTAAAACCCTGCCTGCTGCCAGAAGCGGATTTAGGGGAGTACAACTGGTTTTCCCACTATGGGTGTCAAGCTGAAAGGGCACCACAGGGGGCACCGCAACAATGACAAACAGTGGAAGGTGAGAGGCAGTGGGGAACTGAATTTTGGTGTCGCACAGGGTGCCTCTAAAATTTGAAAGCCCAAAGTCCATCACTACTGCTGCTGCCTAGTCCCTTGGTTGTGGATTATGGCAGAAGCAGTTTGAACTCATACACCATTTTCATTTTTCCACAAAGCCCTAAAGTGCCCAACTTAGCATTGCTCTGGAGCACTGTGAGAAAGTTAAAGTGGCAGTCAGCTTCCCAGACCCAGCCACTGCTTCCTGGAAAACTCATAACTGAGGGATCAAGTAGGCAGGTAGGCTGGCAAGTAGGCAGCCATCCCAGGGCACTTTTCTAGAAAGGGGTCTCTACTCTAGAAGCAGCCTTACACTAAATATTACTGTATGTTTTATGAAATGCATGGGCTTTGTTTTGAAATTACTGAAACGATTCACATAGAAATAAATAGTCTGTATCTCTCATTGTGACATGTGAATTAAAATGACATGTAACTAATCCTAATTCTGACCTTTAAAGCCATAACAACCTGGATTCTTAGATGTGGAAGAGACTAAGTTTAGTGGTGGAACCTTCTTTGCATGCAGAAGGTTCCAGGTTTAATCCCTAGCATCACCAGGTCAGGCTGGGAGAGACCCCTGCTTGAAAACCTGCAGAGCCACTGCCTCTCTGTAGACAATAATGAGCTAGATGGACCAATGGTCTTACTTGGTATATGACAGCTTCCCATGTTCCTAGATCTTGGCTGCCTACTTTTTAGTCAA